CAACAATGGGCTCAGGTACAGCAAGGATTGAGAGGACAGCGTAGGACCAGGCAGTGTTTTGTTCTGTCATATGTAGGGTCGCTATGAGTCAGAGCTAATTTGACAGCACCTAACAACAATCCTGTTTTATTTTAAATTAAGTGATTCTTTTTTTCTACTAACGACTGCCTCTTCTCATATTCTTGGGCATTTTGTATTGATTTCCTCCTTGCTTTTACACTCTCAAGTTCTACTCTGTGCTGTGTTTTTCACATCAGCATTTAAACATTCTCAAGTTTTATCCATTAAAGAAATGTACTGTTCATTTCCCTTTTCCACTCCATTTGTCACTGCTTATTACATCCATTTTCACCATCCATTCACTCTTAATCTGCTGTTTGCCTATATCACTCCACTGCTAGTGCTTTCTATATTCCTAAACCAGTGGACTTTTTCAGAGTCTTTGTCTCTGGCATACTCAATAGAATTGAGCTTGTTTCCCTTTTTAAAAATAGTCTTCTTTTGCTTCTAAACCACCACGTACTCCTGGATTTTCTCTTCCATCTCTAGCTGTCCCTTGTCAGTCTCCATTGCCATCATAACCTCTTTTCAACTGTTAGGGTTCTTCAAAGCTATTCCTTTTTGTCTCATTCTATGTTCTGGTTACCTAGTGCCACTCTGACAGAAATATATCACAAATGGGATGGCTGGAAAAACAGTTTGGAGGCACTAAGTTTTAGTTCAAAGTGTCAGACTCTAGGGGGTGGGTGAAAGCCCCTCAACCTTGGACTTCAGCTCTGCCTCCTGCTCCAAGCCCACTGGAACTAGAGGCTTTTCTTCACTCAGACAGCTACTGGCTGCTAAGACTGACAAGCCCAAGTTGACAAGTAAAAAGGCACAATCCCAGTGTTACAAACCACACAACCATTAATTCAAACTACAGGCCATTGATTCAAGTCCATTGAAACTCCCAAGGTTGGCAGAGTATGGCAGGCTGCTGAACAATGGCATGGCTACATGTAGGGTTCAAGCGTGCCATGAGCTAGGGACTGTCCCCAAGTCTTCTGCTTATATACAGGAAGCAGACCACATCCTTAAGGCAGCTACTCAGCTGCTCACAGTTGATTCCACCATGGAGTTGATTACCAGTCTCATCATGAGGAATACTGCACCCAGCTGCCCAGCCATTCAACGAGGCCCAGCCACGTTGACACACAAACTGAACTACCACATACTATATGCATTGACTTCTCAGTAACTGTCAATATGGTGATGACTGTCACATTTGTATTTCCATCCTAGACCTTTTCTCTGATTTCTCCTCCTGTGTTAAGTGCTTACTATGCATCTCTATTTGCATATATCATAGCTCAGGCTCAGCATATCTAAAACCGATTCCTGTTCCTCTCCATCCTTCAAATATCCCGTGATTCTCTTTCTTAGTGATAAACTTATATAAGCCTTCTGGTACCATAACCAGAAACCTGGGAAACATCTTTTACAACCTCCTGTTCTCTCATTTTCCCTCACTAGATCTAATGCAAACCCAAGCTCTGTCCATTTTATCTTCTAAATCTCCTTGAAGTGGTCCCACCTCTCTCCTTCCTTACCACCAGCACCTGCTAAATAGGAACTGTGGTGAAATAGGCAGATAAGCAAGCTTAGAGATGCAATTTCTCACCAGGTGGGAAAATGTGGAAGAAGTGTGTTTGTTTGTTTTTCTAGGTTCTTTGTTCTATACTATACTATACTATAGGAGCTCTGGTAGCATAGTGGCTAAAGCACTTGACTGCTAACCAGAAGGCTGGCGGTTCAAACCCACCAGCCACCCCTCGGAAGGAAGGTTGGGCAATCCTACTTCTGTAGTGATACTGCCTCGGAAAGCCAAGGAGGGGTTGCTATGAGTCGGGGCCGACTTGACGGCACATAACAACAACAACAACATACTATACTATAATGGAAGATTTTTGATATGCAAATAATAAGTAAATCCTTATGGATCATATAATTATATATTTGAATTGAATTGAAAGTTTTAAGTTCATTATAGACCATGAGTTCTCATCTCTTTTATTTAAATCAATGTTGTTGTTTTTTCTTTTTTTTTGTAATAATGGTTCAAAATAAACTCAAGGCACTATAATAATCTTCTATATTTTTATGGCTGAAATAGGATCATTAATAACTTGAGAGCCAATAAGATCAGTAATATTAGAAAAACAGAAGAAATATTGAAGAAATAAAATCTACTAGTACATACTTTTGAAAATCATTCAAAGATTGAAGTATTAAATGTTCTAATTATGTCTCATATGCATATAAACATACATATGTGCAAACATACACTTATACCTCCAAAAGTCACTTAATTTTGATTATAGTTTAAACATTTTTTTTAGTCTTGAAAATATTCAGGGCTAAGCTCATTTATATTACTTACTAGTTAATTTTAACATATTTCTAAGTCGCCACCTTTGAACTTTAGGAAGAGGCAGCTATCCACATGTGAAGCTCATTTAGTGAATTATTTTTCATGTGCACTTTGACGTCCAAAATTGAAGAGTTTATAAAAAAGAGAAGGTCCATTCATTTAATAGGAGATCTGTCAGATTAAACTGAGGCAACTGAAAATTTTATGGCCACCATTTTGGATTATAAGACATGTATTGGTAGGTAAATTATTCTTGCTGTGTCTGGATGAAAACATTATACCAATAATTGGGTTTTATCTCATTTATAAGGTGACAATTCCATCACTTGCTCTGTTCTACATTAATAATAAACCTGTTATTTTCCTATTACTTACAGTGGTTTTTAGCTAAATAGTATGTACTCTTGAAATAGTTTCTCCTGTGCTTAACCTAATTTTAAAATTCTGAAAGATAGAGAACAATAATGTTTCTCTAAATCAATATTTATAGGAAAGAATGTATCATTTCCTAGAAGAAGAAAAATACTTTATTTATAGAAAAAATAAATATTACATTTGATATGAAGTTTATAATACCTTACCAAAACTTATCTCACATCTCTTGGTAAGATATATATTTATAATATTTGTATTTTGTTAGAGTCATTTGTGACTAAAGATTTTTTGTCCTTTGGAGATAAGAATTTTTTGAAAATCTTACACTAAACTCATTAATATTCTAAAATAAGATAATTGTTCAGTATTGCACTTCAAGTCATTGACTATGGAGAAAAAGTTTTATAAAAATGACAAATCAGGCAACTTTCCAAATTGATAGCCCCAAAATATTCAAACTTTCCGTTGAGCAGTAATTTTATATTTTTGCTTTCTGTTTATTTTCATTATTCTTACATTATATATTTTAGATAATTTCACTGGTACAGATATTCTATTTAAAAAATAATAATAATGAGTGAGATATGAGTGACTGGTTTTGTTGAACAATTCCTAGATAAACTGAGGAAGGTTATTTTGTTAATGGTTATGATTAGACTTAAACACTTTTAGAAATTTCCCTAGAAAGCTCATAAACTGCTCTTTTTTTGTTGTTTTCTGAGAGCAACATTGGGTTCATAGACATTTTTACGATAAAACCATTTTTAGCAAGCATCAACTATCTCCTTTTGGCTTTTTATTTCTGTTGCATATATGATGTGAAAAACATGCCTTAACTTTCTTAGGATATTATGATGCCAGTTTTCATGAACTTATGTTTCTGTGAAAATTTCAAGAGTTTTCCACAGAGGTTCTGGAGCTAAGACCAAATAATATGCATTTCTACAACGTAAACATTTATAAAAATATATCTGGTTTCTCTGAATGAATGCCTTTGGAGGAGGCAGGTGCAAGGTGTTCCATCGCACACCAACTTTTCTTTATAATAATTGTGCTTAAAAAAGGAAACACTCTTACTTACTTAATTTCTGAGATAGGAATTTCTGCTTTTGTATTTTGTTATATTGAATATATTTTCTAAGTTTTAGTAACATTTTTGTTTTTCTAAGAATTAGTCTATTGTGCTTGTATAGAAAATTTAAATCTATATTCCTGTGGCTTTTAAACTCCATGTTTTCTCAGTGCCTCTGCTATATCCAGGGAGCAAGCAAGCTACTTCAAAAGCTACATTTGAATCAATGTTTTCTTTTTGATGATTTCTGGTAATACTGGTGAACCAATCTAATTCCTTATTTTTCCTTAGAGCAACGTTTATATGCATCTGTTCAAATAAGTGATTATCTCTATTGCAACTGAATCAATTGGCTCAAACCCAATATCTCTTTTGCCAGTTCAAATACAGAAGGAGAAAGTAGTATGTCAAGAGGGAGAAGAGTAAGAATATTCTTCTGAATTATTTCAATTCTGAATATTACATACATATTTATAAAATCGTAAATTATCATAGAACTTGTTAGAATAATAAAATTATGGGCCTGGAATGGCCCTTACAAATTATCTTCTTCCCCTATAGTATTTCAAGAAATTTGAAGATCAGAACTTGTTAGTGATGTTGACCTATCCTCGTACGAGAATGAAAATCCTGATATTCTGACGCTCAAACAAGTACTTTCTCCAATGCAAGTTGTTGGCTCTCCAGAGGTTAACTGTACTTTTTCTGGAGAACGAACAGCAGATTTGCAAGCCTGTATGAGAATCTGAATGCCATTTAATAAGTTCTCATTTCTACTTGTAAAATAGCACAGGAGTGGCCTAGGGTAAAGAATATTCTTTACCAAAGTGCCTGACTTCCTCCTGCAATATATCAGAGGCTGGGAAAATGTGGTCATGCATGTTTCAGAATGGCTTAATTTCAAGAGACAAACTGATTGGTCAACTATTAGAATTGCCCTCAACCTGACCATGCTTTTGGACACAGTGAGTATGTGTGTCAGGGTGAAATAAAAAGACACCTTGTCTTTCTCATTGAATCTGAGCCTTCTCCCATCAACAATGATGCTCTTATTTTATCCCATGGCTTTCTTTGGATTGAAATGTATCCATTAACATTTGTGTGCTTTTCTTTTTCATCCATCCTTCTCCATCTCATGAAAAGCACATCTGGGTAAGTTAATCACAATGGCTGCTGAACATTCTTATTTTCAGCACCATGCTCTTTTTCTCTTTTTTCTTTGGTATTTTTCTTTTCAGTTTTAATACAAGCTGCACTGCCTCTGACCTAAAGTGAAAATTATGAAATATATTCATTCTCAGACAGTAAAAAGAATCATTGGTTCAGAGAAATGTTCACATTTGTATTAATTATGTTGGCCTTTCAGGTACTTTTATTTCTGTAGATCTGCTAGACACAGGTCAAAAATTATTCTGGGCTTCATTTCTCCTCATACTTAAGTCATTCTCTAGGGGTTAGTGTGGCATTCACAAAGCCTCAAACCACCGGGCTACTATTGACTGTGCTGCATGACTGAGTCTGGCTGGGTTTTCTCTTGTGCTTTTAGGTTCTCCATCTACCTTCTACTTACGAGACAAACTTATTTGTCAAGTACTAGAACTGCATTTAACTGTAAAAGGTTAAATGCTGGGCCTTCCTGATAGATCTTTCATACTCTGAGAATACAATGTAGTACTTGGTTTTGGATGATTATGTGTTCTTTCCAATTTTCTATAGTTTTGTTCACTATTATGTTTTTTTAAAAAATCTATATTACACAGATTTCAGTTTCAAATGTTACATCTTGCTTTTGATTATAAAATTAGGATGTATTATGATTTATAAAGTAAATTGGGCTAAAAGAAAATATGTATAACATTTATAAAATATTTGCATTAGTATAACTTTTTCATTTGTAAGATGCAGAGTTCATTAAAATACTTTTTGAGGAAAGGTGGCAATACTTTAAATCTAAAACGTTTTGGAGGGGGTTAATAAAATGGCCCCAATTATATATAATTACAGTGGAAGCTATGGAGAGACGCATAGCGACCACTCCTCGGGTTTCCGAGGTGGTATCTCTATGGAAGTAGGTTGCTCAATCTTCCTTCCAAGGAGTGGCTAATGGGTTTGAACCACCAGCCTTCTGGTTAGCAGTCATGTGCCTTAGGCACTATGTCACTAGAGCTCCCTTTTTTTGTTTGTTTTGTTTTATGGAGAGTGTCACTAATTAGTTCTACAAATGTTTTATATACTAATACAAGGTCACACTCTTTTTAATATTATTTGTTTCACTAATTGAGCCCATATTCTATATAGTTTTTCTACTCTAATTTGAAATTATAGTTGCTACTACTAAGGCTATTTAACAATGAAATGTTTACTTCAGTTAGGGCAATTTAGAATATTAAAGAGAGCTCTATTAAGGTGAGCTTGCTAGGCAAAGTGTTGTTAGAGTAATATTCAAACATACTGTAAAAAATGCATTTTGTAAATTCTTATTTTTTAAAAAAACTAATCTTGTTCATTTAATTTCTAAACTATTATTTCTCACATTATCATGTGATTGTCATCTTCTGTTTTTCAATAATTTTTATGTTTCAAAATAAACTCAAGGGAAAAAATATGTAGTTTCCCTTACCCTTGTTGAGTGACATTGAATACTAATTTCTTCTTGAATTAAATATTGAAAAATAATAAATTAATAATATTAATAGTCACTTATAGAGTATAAGAAATTGACATAATTGCCTTCATACCAAAACTAAATTTTGGACATTATTGGACCTCGCATCAGTTTCATAGCACATTTCCTAAAAAGAAGCTTAAAAGGGTGTAACCCACTGCCATCAAGTTGATTCCAGTTGATAGCAACTCTATAGGGTTTCCAAGGCTGTGAATCTTTACAGGAACAGACTGTTTCATCTTTCTCCTGCAGAGCGACTGGTGGGTTCAAACCATTGACCTTTCGGTTAGCAGCCAAATGTGTTAACCACTGCTCCATCTCAGATTCTTTAAGAGGGTATAACATTGGGAAAAGATAGAGAAGACCTGGGAAGACTTAAAGTAGAAAGCACACTGAATTAGGAATCACAGACTTAACTTTCCCAGTTGTTTGCTGCATGCTCATGGATGACTGATTTTAGTATCTGTCTTACTGCCTCGGAAACCCAAGGGGGGGTCGCTATGAGTCGGGGCTGACTCAACGGCACATAACAACAACAACAACAACAACTTATTAAGATTATTACCCACTTGCTCCTCATAATAGTAGGAGAGAGTGTGTATAACCTCAGAATAATGAAACAACAATCTTCCAAGCTGAGTTAAGGAGGGCTCACAATTAGATGAAGTACTAAAAAATATCTAGTGGACATGGTAACCCAATAACCTAAAAAATTGCTTATGTTTCTCTAGCAAGTCCCCAATTTACTATCAGGAAGTGCCTGTGGAGAACAGACCGTAATGTCTTACAAAAATGAAATTGTTCCGTGAAAGTAATACAAATGCGTCTAGTTTTCAATAACAGCATGAATAATTTCATCGCTCCATCACCTTTGTGCATGTGTGTGATTAGACCTTTTTAATGGTTTTAAAAGTGATTACATTCAAAATAAAGTGAGGAAGAAATTATGTAAATCCCAACTCAAATTCACAAATAAATTAAATTTATTTCCTGAGACTATGTCATATATTTCAGAACAGCTTGAAGAAAAAAGGTTTACATATGAATGAACTTCAGTTTTAATGTAATCAAATTATTTCCAATCTAAACAACCCAGTATATGTTGTTGGAATCTAAATGGAAACTACTGAAATATATAATGGATTGTTCTACTCTCTGTATGGAAAAAAATGTGCAGTAATAGGATACATACTAGCAGGATTTTGCAAAAAAATCAAAATCAAGTCAACCTTGTTAATATGGAATTTGAAACTCTTTGTTTTCATGGAGCTTAATACTTATACTTAGGTAATCAATGCTCTAGGAGAGCTGATTGGGATTTGTGACATATTTCTGTTTAGAATAATTATGTTAGTTAAGACACACTCTTTTAGGCTGCAGATGTTAAATAAAGATGATGGCATCATCTTTTGTTCTCATTTACTGACAAGCATTTCAAATATTTTCTCAAGAATGTAATTCTTACTTTCAAAGAATTGATCAATAAGTATGAATTTCTGAATGATGGAGTTATATAGTCCATTGTCTGATTGAAAAGTGAGGGAATTGTATTATATTGATCCTCCTGAATGTTAAATTTTAATGGAACAAGATACATTTTACAATTCATGAGAGTGTGAGGTTTGTATGCATTACCTGTGAGTATTTTATAAAGATGATTTATTCCCTGTAGTACACTGTTAAAACATAGAGTCAGTTGTCAAGTTATTTTGTCTTATATTTTATTCTCTATTCTTATTGAGACACATTTTATTTCTTTTGTTTATGTAGATAGCCAAGTACTTGTCATGTGCTCCAGTAAATAAATTAGCTTTAAAGGTAAATTTTTCAGCCAGACAATTATTTTGTAGTAGATGTACAGAAAATCAATTGAATTGAAATGAATTGCAACAACCAACTCAGCTTTTCCATCCTGATTATAGAAAGGCACCTCTTTCATCTGGCCAAGATGCAGAACCTGACTAGTAGGGGATAACAGGAAAAGAAAAGCCATAGTTCCTTTGTTCTCTTATAGTGTTGAGAATTGCAGTGTTTCAGAATGAGGGTAAAGACTATATTTATTAACTCAGAGGTCAGATAAATATATCCCATGTCGAGCTATAAATTAATAAGAGAAAAAAATGTTGGAAGACTAACATTCATTTAATACCTACAATGAGGTGGATGCTGTTATACTAATTTTTCAATTATAAAAACATTTTCAGAGAAGTCAATTAACTTAAAAATAGCATGAGAATTAAGAGAGTCATTACTATGACCAAGTTGTTCAAGTTCAAATTCTGGTTCTGGCACTCACTTGCTCTGACTCCAGTGTCTTCTTATAACAATGGACTCCCAGAGTCCATTGGTAACTCCTTCTTCCCATTATGTATCCAAATTCCAGAGAGATCTTTCTAAACACAAGTCTGGAGCACAATTTTTCTTCAAAGCCTTCATCTGCAAAATGGATACCAATAGGTACATTATTGGGTAAGATTCAATGAGCCTGCTGCTAACCAAAAGGTTGGTGGTTTGACCCCATTAGCTGCTCTGCAAGAGAAAAGATCTGATGATCTGCTCCTGTAAAGGGTTTCCTGCCTAGGAAACCCTATGGGACAGTTCCACTCTGTCCTATAGGGTTGCCATGAGTTGAAATCAACTCGATAGCACACAACTAAACAACAGAATAAGTAACTAGATAGGTGACAGACTGCTTAGATTAGTGATTCACACATAGTAAGTGATAAATGCATGACAACTATTATCATCTGAAATTAAAATCCTAATTTGTCTACGTTCAGAACTTTTGTTATTTTAAGCCACTATATTATATTTCATAAGAGGATGAAGTATTTCAAATGAAAATGGAGTTCATTAGGTAAATATCCATTATAGTACTTAGTGTATTAAATGTAATACAATTTCTTTAATTACAATTAAATAGAATTATGATTTCAAATGTGAAATATAGTAAGGGCAGTAACTGAAGTATATACAATTTTAGTATTTGTGTAGAAGAGAGATTTATTTCTGCCCGATGGATTTCTAGTAAGCTTAACCCGAAAGGTAAAGCATGAGTTAAATCTGGATGATGAGTATGAGTTTTCCATGATTGTGATACAAAGAAGAATGTTACTGGCAGAAGAAAAAAGCATAGACAAAGTCAGAGAGGAGTGATATAGAATGAGGTATTTGGAAAATGGCAGGTATTTCCGTATTGATCTGAGTAGAAGTAACAGGGAAGCAACCAGGCACTGGATCATTAAGCATCTTTGTAGTTATGCTAAAAGTTGGGTCTTTATTTTGAAGACATTAAAGAGATTTTTAAGCAGGGAAGCATTACAAAAAGACTTGTGTTCAGAAAGGTGTCTCTGGAAGTTGGACTAAGTATCTAGGGAAGGGAGTACCAAATGAAAGACAGAAAGATTCTGGAAACCCATTGCCAAAATCCACAAAAGGTGAAGTTTTGAACTAAGTCCTAAATAGTACTCATTCATTATATAAAACATTTTTGTGTTTGAAAGGGTACTCTTATCGCTTTCTGCAGTCAACCTTAGTAGTTGCTAAGCAACATTCTTATTCCTTTTCAAGATGCAATAAACAGTTGAATGGTAAGAAATACGTAGAATATTTAAAAACTAACCTATGATCAAGAATCTTCTAGGGTTGCCACCATTGGTATCTTTGTGGATTACATTACAACAATCATTCAAAGGATATTCTTGGTTAGAGTATGCAAAAAAAAAAAAAAAAAAAAAAAAAAGCATGGCACTGTAGAAGAATCTTTCTCTCCTGGATTTACAGTCTTGGTTGGGAGTTGAGCCCCCTGCATATCTGGTAGTATCCATGCACAATAAGCTTCCAGATTTTAAAGAAGAAAAGGGGACTGGAATGATTACAAATGATTCCTGGAAGAAAGGAGACTCAGGAATTATGTAAACAGTAAGATTTTAAGATTTTTGAGAGTTGAAGAAGGGAAACGTCTTACCAGATCAGAAAATAGTGCTAGCAAAGGTGGAAGTGGGAGTGTACAAATTATTTGGAAAAACAAGTTTTTAATTCTAGTTAGAAGTAAGATAAAATAATTAGAAAGGGGAAGACTTTGTAATGCAGGGTAAGTATTATGCTTTAGGTATTCAAAGAACCATCAAAGTGTTTTTAGAAGAACATGATGATAATAGTTGTAGTTCACATATACTGACCATTTGTATAGTGCCAGGCACTGTTGTGGGAGCTGTGGTGGCATAGTACTTAAGGCATTTGACTGCTAACCAGAAGGC